CTATCGCGGTCCACCTTGCATAGTAATGGGCTTCACTCTCGGCCCCCGCTACCTTTCCTGACGTTTACCTTTAATTAACTTTTCTATGGATTACCAGCGCGATCCTCTCGTTTCACTCGCCTCGATCACTTTCCTTTAATTCGAGCCAAAGCGTTTTAACTGATCGAGTCTCACGATCTCTTCGTTGTCTCTTCGATCGTTCCATTATTACTCGACTGTCGGAGTAGTTTCTTAACTGTTGCTGGAGCTTAGAGAGGAAACCGAGCTGTTGTGCACTTTGAACGGAAGTTACTTTGCTCGAGAGGATCGGTGAGTGAATCCTGCAAGCGAAAGGAAATACTTTGGACGAGTACTCTTGGATTTAATTGCGGATACTGGGACGTTGGGACGGGGTGGTTTCATCATGTTTCTTAATAAATTTTTCAGTCTTCCATATGTCGGGTACTCGCACACCCCTGTTAGATATTCATAAGTATCGGTGAAACGTGAGCGTTAAAGGGTTAAACTGGAAGGGTGGAAAACTGTAATAATTATTCGCCAAAGTTTTCTCCAATTAAGTGCAAAGGGGTTAATTCTCTTGCAAACGTTTCCCCAGTATATCTATTTCGGCATTAAACCGAGTGTTTCGAGCATTCAACTTCAGCTGGGTAAAGCGTCCATGAATCACCGGGCCGGAAAAGGGCGAAGGAAACGGACAATAGCATCGCACGAGGATCTGGCCGGTGAACGCGATAAAAAGGCCAAAAACTGCGCATAAAAATCTCCCCGAAATTTATGATATCGCTGCACCGGTTCAATTGTTTTCGCAAAGTGCACACCGGCCGCGAGATACTTCCGTTACGGATTCGCTCAGAGCGCATCTATTTCGGCGCTTGAAATGGAAAGAGAGAAAGAGAGATTGGCGAGGAAAAAAGGGAGAAAACGGGGAAAAAATACGGGGAGACCGGTTGTTTGTTTCGTAAACAATGGCGTTTCGTTCTTAATCGCGATCGTTATTCACGATCTCCGAGAAAAGAAGAGAGGCTAGCTTTAAAGAGTAATTATTTTATTCACCGGGAAACATTTTATGTGGTTCGCAATACTCTCTCCTAGACCAGTTATTTTCGGGAAGACTTCTTAAGTAGTTATTAGTGGACAAGAAAATGCTCGTGAATTTGAGTGCTTTAAATTTATATAGGACAATACTTCTATGTCATGAATTTTTGCTAGACTCGTGACAATATCATTGATCTATATTCGTCAAGTGAGTTATGGTCGGGGGTGTGTATCGGATTGGCACAGTACCGTGTCAGCGATCCGTGAATCACCTGCAAGGGTTCTCGAACCGCGAAAGAGATCGCGATCTTGTAGAGATACAAACGATGGGCACCAGCTGCGGGCGTCTTAATGCGCCGGCTTGGCTCGTAAATAACTTTGCCTCGATGTTGCGAGAGGAAAAGAGCGAGAATGCTACGAAAGAGCGAAGCAGACGGCGTGGCAAAGTGCAGGAAAAAGACAACCTCGAAGTTGGATAACGTCTTGCGGAGAATTAATATCCCGCTTTATTGTGCCAACCGAGGAGTCAGCAGCCGTTTATTGGAAACGCGTTTCCGCCAAGATTGGTGGCGAAACTCTTTTGTCGAGCACACCATCGCCGTGTCTATATTTGTACGAATAATTAAGAAATTTTTAGATTATATACACAGAATAGTTTGGCTACACTTTGCTTGTTCTACCAGCGTGTTTGAAATGTAGATTCGCGGTTGTAACTTTAAATTGCACGTTGTTTCTGTGTATTTGCATAAATTCCAGCTTTTGTAGGAGCAACAAAGTGTATCGTTGCAGGTGTTATTAATCAAGCTGAAGTTCAATCTTGAAGGATTATGTTTTTTTACTGCTTTAAGTAATTTACTGCTCTAAAAGTCTGATAACCTCGGGCCTTAGAAATCTTAATCCGTTCTTAGATATAATTACACAGCATTAAACTTTGCATCCTAGAGAAGATATTGAACGCGCAAAGTGCATTGTGCGATATTTCCTAGAAAGGAGCACGCTATTTTTTATCGACACCGATTATAAATAGGAGGCGTGAAAAGATATTCGAGTCAGCGGGGTCGAACGTGACCGAACAATGATCTTTTCAAGAGATTTCACGGCAACTTGCTAACAAAATTGAATAACCAAGTGTACCAACTCTTTCCTGCCACGTTGAAACTTTACGTATCTATCATCCAATTATGTTCATACAATGTCCGTACATTGTTGTTCAATCTTTCAATAAATTAGGAAGAAACACCATTCTATACGTCGCGATTAACCCAGCTCCCTCATTGAAGGGTTAAAATATTTAAAAAATTATAATAATTTATAGATATTGATTGCGAAAGGGGTTAGGTCGAAGAGGTTTTTGTTTAGAAAATTCATTTCATTTGATTCAACAATAATGGACTTTTTTTTTTTCATTTTTCAATCGATCAATGATCAATCGTGTTAGCTCCCCCATAAATCGCTACGTTTGGATTAGTCTAGCTTTGGAATGGATCATGCTTGCAGGAATAATCAACGGAACCGGTGCTTTCCACCGGCTAACACGAACTAATCGGTAGGAAGCTCTGTGATATTGTTGCGGATAAATTATTGCACCCGTATCGACGAGTTCTCGTAATGACCCACATTTCGTGGATCGTTCGAGCGACCTTCCATCTGGCTTGCCTAGCGAACCCTCGATAACGCTGGACCATGAACCTTGATAGGGTTTTTTTTTCGTTTATCCGATAACGACCTCCTATGGACTGCAATAAAAGTCGATAAGTCGAGAAAGAAATATCGCCGGTCTCGCTAATGTCGCGGAATAGGCTCCGGGAGTAGATACACTGACTGAGAACTTTGCTCCTCGACGATCGACGAGCTATTACGTCGAATACACTGACGATAAGTGAAAAATCAGTTAATACATTGATTGATATAATGAAAATGATAATAAGATTTTAAGAATACGAATCATTTTTATTAAATTTAAGTTTTCAATTTTCCATCTTTCAATTTTCGAGTACCTACTCACTTCTAATCATTTTTTAAATTATTTTATAATTTTTTCTCTTAATTATTTTATAACAGTATCTTTGCTATTTATAATTAGCGACGCATTCATGGAATTTTTGTATTGTACAGAATTTACCATTTCTGAAAACTTAGAATAGTTTATGGAATGGGTCATAATGGACCTAGAACTTGCTGGGTTAAGAGAATAAACGGAGTGAACTTTATCGAGGGTTAGGGGTGATTTTCCCGGGAATTATTAGAAATGACGGTAAATTTTTTTCTTCCAATTGAGTTTAGGGTGGTCATTTTATGTACTATGTGGAGTGCCTTTATTATGGTTCATAAGTTCTTTAGTATTTGGGGTGGAAACCTACTTTATTAACAAGCTGATTCTATCTTTAATTAAATAATTATGAAATAGAAAAAGAAAGAAAATTCTATATAATTAAATAATCATATATTCAATCATTTTCAACGCAGATTCAATAACATAGAGAATACCAATTTTCTCATTTTATATGATTCAGAGATGGAACTTATAGTGACAATTTTACAAGCGTTATAATACAAATCACCCTCGGTATAAAAGTTCATATTACCAGTACTCTTTTTTATTTTGAAGCAAAATGATATTTCATATAGGAAGGAATTCATATTATATCCCGTGCACCTTCACGCTTTTTGCCACATACACATTTGTATTCCTGTGAAAAATGGAGTTCACAGATTGTCTGTTGAGGTTTGACGGACGAAGCACTTTCTACTTTTATGAAAGAAACTTTTTTTATTTAGTTTTTGTATTTCCCTCGTGACTATATTAAAATTTTCTTCCAGAATTTATGCATTAAAAATCTTTAGTTCGAATAATAAATAATAAAGCATTGTTATTTAAATTTTCTTATGTTTTTTTTAATAGAAATATTATCTTTGAAACTTTTGTTTATTTTTTTTCTGAGATAGATCATTAACCGTAAAAATAATCAACGACTTTGTTGGTAAAAGTTTCACCGACAAGTTACGAGTCTCTTGCGGTACGTTCATTCACGGAAAAATCAAACTTTAATTTGATTCTTCGAGACTGACGCAGGGTAGACGTTATAGGGCGAGGAATGGGTGGGTGGATGGGTGGCGAGATCGATGGGAAAGGTGACGAGTTCATTTTGGAAATAAGAAAAGTTTCGTCGGACGTTACTTTGGGACGCTGTCAGATGGTGGATTTCATTACCGTGGAATCTTGATGTCTTTTCGTTCGGATCGCCACATCCGTTCGTGTGCTTCACGATATTAGAAGATCCTTCGTAATTTCCATTTTATTGCCAACCGTCGAATTCAATATTATGTACTAGAATCCCACTGACAAGCTTCTCAATACCACCGGTTGTTGACTGCAAAGCAATTTAATAATTCATTGACAAAACTTCATGAACAGCTGGAGATTAAAAATTGTACGTTCTCAACATTTTCATCCACAATAGGTCTTTTAGAACTTGATTCATCTTTAACAGCTTCTCGTCCTCCTAAAAAGATCTTACGTCATCGTAAAGCTTATGCTTCGCCATAAGCCTTTTTCAACTTTTTATAGTTTCCGAAAGTATTTCCATTAAATTTTACATAAAATAAAGAATAGTGAATCCTTATTCGCTATGTCCACGCTATAGCGGGATTGACGATTCCGAAATCGCCCGATCTTGGCCGATCGCAGCCGAGTGATCGGTACGAGGGGAGGAGTGGGGACGGTTGCACGAGGAGAAGAAGACAAGATGGCGTCGTGGTTGACAGGCACGAGGAAATCGTTTATTAAAAATTCGTTTAAATTTTAATGTGAGTGATTTAAAAACCTAATCCAAGTGTCTCTCTCGTGCATGGCGTATACGTGCATGCTTTCTGTTGATTGTGTGAGTGTACGCATACAGGTCATGGCACAATAAGTCTGTGCCCTTAAAGTGATACTAATGAAAGAATTTGTGTTTCTGTTTCAGGTTGCTCTTGCGTCGTCTACAGCAGCTCGGACAGACCTCAAGGTGGCACATTTACAACCCCTTATTATCCCAAAAGATATCCCTCGAACATTGATTGCCTGCTTTATACGTTCATCGGCCAACCCGACGAAATCGTAAAGTTGACGTTTCATCACTTCAACATTCGACGTGTTCGACCCGAGTGAGTACCCCATTCAAAAGTTTTATTTTTATTTAAAGTATCTCAAATTTTCCTCCATCGTAATATTTGTTCATCGATGGATCTTTCCTGTGGACGAGGTACTACTCGATAATATGAGGTAATTAAATTATCATGGTATAGGTTAGGTTAGGTTAGGTTAAACAGGAATTAAGAATGTTTTGAACAGAATTGAATAATGCATGAAATTTAATTAGCATTACGATGTATGATAAATACCTCAATCTAAATAATGAAATATAATATGCAGGATTTAAATAATGAATTAATTTTATGTAACGTGGAATAATAATTTTTGATTGAGTTTAATATAATTACATTTATTCATAAATAATTTTTATTAATATCAATTTTTTATTTATCTTAAATAATTTGGTACCATGATAAATTATTATACCTCTTATTCTCTCTGTAAATACGTCTATTCGTGTTTTACTTTTACCGTAATAATTTTCTCGAATAAATATTAGAGATGTTCTTTAATTAATTAATATTTTAATTTCAATTAAATTAATTAACGTTCAAAGTTCGTTAGTCTTCTGAAAAGGTTCCCCCGAAGCTGCTATCGCAGGTACAAATTACCTTAAATTTATACTGCAGTCCGACTTGTCTCGCACAAAAGGGGAGATAGCAGGTCAAATGAAATTTTACAGGGTGTTCATTGTGTTGATCACCCTGATATTTTATTATTGTTTCTGATCATTTGAGAAGATAATATTTCAAATCAGACCTTAATAAATTTCGGTTGAGTAATGAAGCAATTAAACGCAAATTAATACAATACGAAATTCGGATAATGAAATGACAAAGAGATGTACAGGATTGATACACGCAATCAAACCCATATGTCAAAAATTTTAGATTGTTTATTCATATTATTAAATCTCTTTGAAACCGGTGTAAGTGATTTGAAAATAAATTATTTTACAAATGATCAGAGATTTACTTTGGCTTAGGATAACTTCAGCCTCAATAGCCTTAAAATGTAATATCAATTACCAATTCATAGCACGTGGACGTGAATATCTTCCAAATTTTAAATTCATAGCATATTATGGTAGGATATCACCGGTAGAAAGTTTAATATCATTTTACAGGTTTCGTGTCTGAAACGTTGACTGATATTCTTAAGGGAAACATCGCTCCGTTTCACTTTTTGTCTCGTGCCATCACGAAAATGGCATCTCAGAAGCGCGACTGTTCCCGACAATCCGAAAAGCGACGTTTCCCTTTTGACATTTAAGTTATTCCAATTAGGAATTAGTTAACATAATGCTCCTAATGAAGATCGCACGAACGAAAACAGGCTATTAAAGTGGCTCTCTATTAGAGCAGGGTATTAACTTCGTGACGGCGGCTCTCGCGGATTTAGCGAGGAGAAGGAAGTTTCATTTATTAAAACAGATGCAAGATTCCGTTTGAGATACGCTGAATCCGCTTTAGAAACTAACACAATGCTCGATGGGCTACGTGTTTCGCACTTTATCGGGTATCGTGCACGAAAAGGAGCTTAAAATGGGCGAACCCTGTAATTCTCTCCTTTGTCCGATTTTTAGAAAAGAAAGGAAACCTTAGAAATTCTTCTTTTTCTTACCTACGTTAGAAATGATGTAAAAAAAAGTCTTGGTTCGAATTGAATTTTGTCACGTGAACGAGTGACACGTTTTTCCTTTTTTCCCCCTCGAGTCGACGTATGTAGCCGGATGGCTTTTTCGCATTTTTCTATGAAGCACTTAGAAATTCGTCGGGTAACGACCGTTTCGCGGAATTGAATTCCAAATGCGATTCGTCCCTCGACGAAGACGAGCACCGCGCGCTGACTTATGGCGGTTTTTCTTCGGGCCGCGAGCAGGAGACGAGGAAACGAAGGGAACCTGGCTAGCCAATTTGTAGCTCTGCTACCTGCTCGTGCACACGTGCAAATCCACCCTGACAAAACGTTCCCCTTCGACCCGTAATAAGGATTCTACGTTGACAAGCTTTAAAGGGGATTTCTGTCTCGGGGATGAAGTCGACTCTTACACTCGAAACCCCCGTGGATTTGTTTCTTGTGGCAGACGTGGAATCTATGGGGTTCCGGCATCTTTAAGTTGAAACTTACATTCTGGTTTGAATGTCTAAAATCCTAATCTATTTTTACTTTAATATTTTTCCCTGGAAAAGTATTATACCCCATAATAAATTCAGGGTTTCTACGTTGAGATTGAAATTAGGAAATTTTTTAATAGTTTTGACTGAAAATTACATATTCAGTATCTTGTGATATGAAGTACTTGACGTATTGGAATCATTTTCTGATGGAATTAATTCTGTTGAAGACATGTAATTCTGTTTGTGGTTTCACGTTATTCATGGAATACCTCATTATTCACCACTTCAGTTGAAACAATTGTACGATATTAATTTAGTACGCCACATTTAACTGAATATCGTTGTGAAAGCAGACTATGTCAAATTTACAACCACTTGAAATTTCTTCGAATAATTTATTATAAACTTGTATTTTTTGTAGTTAAGCAAGCATCAATTCATATTTTCCGCTCTGCTATTTATATCTCGGTGATTTTAGAAGTTTTTAGAGTTTGAAAGAAGGTAGGCAAGCAGTTGCCAAACAACGTGGTCATTTTGTTTGATTTAATCGTGGTAGGATCCTCAAAGAGCTAGTTTTTGAAACCGTGTTTACTTAGGAGTTGTGCCCTGGTTATCAGAAATAATATTCGCTTTCAGAAGTTTATCCACGCATATTTTCATCCCCTCGAAGAATATTCCAAAACCTAATTAAAAAATCTGAAATTTTTTTCTCTTTATCAAATTTTAATAAAATAATAATCACTGTACAAATTTTTCTCCCTAAAATAGCTTCAGGTAGTATTTTAATTTGTTTTTCACTTTTTACCTCCACGTTAAAATATAAATTTGAATTTCAATTTGACGAAGATTTAATTAAAACTAAATTCAGCTTGTTCAGAGATTTAGCCAATTTTCAGTTTAATCAAGTGATACGAGCTTTTGTAACATGACCAATTGCAACTAATTTGTACAGATACAAAACTTAGACCTCGGTAATGTGTTCAGTCCCTGGTGCATATCCATTTAGCAATTCTGCTGAAACTTCGCCGATTAGCTCGGCCAGACTCGCAATAACTAATTTCCTGGCTACGATTCGTAATAGTTTCCCCGTTATGAATTTGAACACTCATCGAAAGAAACAAGATTGAATCGATATTCGTACGGTTATTGATTGGAGTCTGGTTATGTCATTTGCTTTCGTAATCCTGTATTATCATCAAAATCACTTGAAACTGGTGATGAGGATAAGGTACTTACATCGATTCGGAAAATGTAGCACGCATTACAAACCGAAGCTCGATTGGGCATGCTTGGCTCCTGTTACGTCTCAGGGGAAGATGGATCAACGGATAAGAGGCATTCCGTCTTACCAAGCACCGTGTTCCCCTGATAGCCGCCCTCCCAATCACAGCCAGCTCGATTGCAAACGTATGCTGAATGCAATGAGACAACTGCATCCTCCTACTGCAGTTACAATGCCGTTCAACGTTGCGACATGCGCTACAAATATAGCATGATCGTGGTAAAGTTGCCTCTAAGAACTTCCTTGAATACTCTTACAAAAGCTTGACGAAATAACGAATACACTAAGGAATTTTAAAGTCTTTTCTGATCAGTACAATTAATTAATGTTAATTAAATTTTATGTCACACGATTTTTCAAAAACAATCATTCCGATTGTTTCCCAACTTTTCGAAAGTCATCTCCATAGTGAAATTCACCTTTTACACTCTCTCACGTTCTCGTCTCTCGGTAGGGGAATTCAATGCAAACATTATTTCGATATGGAAATCTGCTTGCACGTAGCAGAGAGAAAATTCCCGGTCTGCCGGCATTTCGAATGCATATCACGATGTTTGCTGGTTGGTTTAGAACGGCTAAGTGGAGGAAGGGTCAGCGATGTGACGCGGACCAGGGAGAGAGTCGGTTAGGCGTTCAGGAAGAAGGAAGTTATGAGACGAAAACGAGGAAGATTCCGTTGAATGCGGTGGCGGTTTCCGTGGACGGGACCGGCCCTTGCAGATTTTATTTTCTGCTTCGAATGCCGCTGTCCCTCCGAGCGGAATATGAATCTCTCTTTTGTGAAGTTGTGGTCTCGCTCTATTTTTCTTCTCCCTTTCCGCGCCCCCCATCTCCTTTCTACCTATCTTTCTCGTCTGAAAATGTAATAACGTCGCTACGTCGATTGTTCGACCGGCACAATAGAAGGCAGATAATTAACAAGGCAGAGGGAAGAAACGGCGAAAGGTATTAACCCTTTCGTTGGGGGAGATTCCCGATGTTAAGCTCCGAGTTATGGGCAGTAAATTCGATGAATATTCTTTGATGGATTACGCGAAAATTGTTCGTTATCGAAGGAAGAAGCGGAAATTATCATCTAATTCTACCTTTTTCATTTTAATACTTTATCGTAGAACGCATAAAATATTATAATGAAACACTAAGGCAAATAATAATTATTATTTCTAATAGTTTGCATGTTTCGAGATCTACGGCAATGTTACAAAATTAAAAAAATTCTTTACCTTGCAATTATTACAATCAGACATCTAAAACATGTCACTGACAAGGAAAGGGTTAACGATTCGCGTGACGCGACGAGTAAATGAGTTTTAATCACGATTGAACGATCGATTCGCTAACCGGATGACCATCGTCGCCCTTTTCGAGTTTCGGCCTCGTGATTACGTATGCAAATATGCGCCGGAATTTCTGCTGACGGGCATTATGCGTCGAAGTACGACGCGGCCGTGTCTGCCATAGGGAACTTCCGACACGACGAGACTGTCGGAAGCATGGGCAAACAATTGGGTAATACGCGTCGCTTGCGAGCAGAACGCAAGACGCGAACGGAGGGTAGGTCGCGCGGAAATTTCTATGGTCGAGGCAAGTTCAAGCATGCAATTGTTCG